TTACTGAATTATGGGGGAAAATATCAAACTTTTGCTGATATTTTAGAATTTCCTTTTTACTTAACATGTAAGGGAAGCTGCTTTTTGGAATCCATCATTTTTCAGTTTATAACCAGATTTTTCCTTTTCAGTACAACTGTAATAAATTATAGACAATCATATTCTCTCCATTAGAAGAAACAGTAAATGAGGTAAACTGGCATATCTCAGGATTCATGGAGGTTTTTAAGTCACTATAAAGATTGCCATTTGCCCCCACACTAGTTTGTAGAGCATATGCTGTAGGTGCCCTTGTCATGCAAGCTTTCATCCTTAGTATGTCTATCGTGAAACATTCTTAACTGGCTCTAGAAATGCAAAGAGTTTGGTCCCCATTGAAATGGGTCTGCCCATTTGATGCCCATTGGGTCTGCCTGACACAGATCAGTCTGTCCAGATGGGAGAAAAAAAACACAAACAAAAACCCAGCTCCATGTGCCCATTGGTTGTCCTTTTCCATCTTTGCCAATGTTAACTGCTTATTGTGTGAGCTGAAGCAGATCCCTGAGTTCACAACAAGACTTTAGAATGTTCTTTCTGGCTGTTCCAGGATAAAAATACAGCTCTGTGGATTGGATGGCAGGAATAGGGACTTAGACAATAAACTGGTTTAGGCAATGATGCTGCTGTTCTTTCACTTGTTAACAGTGATTCAAATCATAAGCTAATGCGTTCCATATAGATGGTAGGAAGAACAACTGCTGCCTTGAGGAAAATCAAAACATTCCACTTTTAAAATATCTTTATAAAGCCATATAAATATATTTTTCAGTCTGTGTCCCTGGGAATATTTAAGCCCGAGCAGAGTTAGGAGTAGAGCTGCTGAAATATTGCAGTGAGAGCTGTCATCAAGCCCTTTCTAGTGTTTGGGTCACTTTGGAACCTGCAGTCTTGAGATTTCAAAGCCTGCAAACTCACCTCAACCTTAGTCAGAGATACTCCTTCAGAGATTTGCACCTCTGACAGGCAGTTCTGTTGAAACTGGCAACAAGCCTGCAAATTTTTGCCAGTCATGGCAGATTGTTTCAATGTTTTTTACCCTTAATATAAAGACGGTCTACTGGAATCCCTGGGTTTTCAGGTTTGGAGCCATTGAATATTTCCCCACTGGTAAAATTATCTATCCACTCTCCTTTTTCTTAAAAGCTTCCAGGTTATCTGGACGCATGGTGAGCTCCAGCTCTGCAAATACCTAATTTCCTTCTGTCTGAAAGCTGCTGGGATGTCCCATTGTGCTTTATTCTGCTGCTGAAATATCTAGAGCACTTCTTGATATCATCAGTAGGCTGCACGTGTAGCTGGGCTCAATTTCTTCCTTCTTTCTTTGCTGGTGTAAAAGGATTGCATAAATCACAGAATCACAGAATCTTAGTGGTTGGAAGGGACCTCCGAGTCCAACCACATTAGAAAAAAAAAAAACCAACAAAAAAATGCCAAACAAAAAAAAACAACCAAACAAAAAAAAATGCCTAGGTGTGGATGAGGGTAAGAGCAAAATGATGGCAATCCCTGGCTGGCCAGTGGCCCCTCGGGGTGCTGTTACTATCCAGCATAATGCACAGCAGCCTGTAATAACTCAAGTCTGTTTTGGGTATGGAGGCAGAAGAAAGGGAACGTACAGCTTGCTTCTATGACTTACTGCCCTGTAAAAGGATTTTAAAGAATCTTTGGGGAAAAATTTAGGCCTCAGATGCACACATGTGGATCTCATTGATTTCATAGGAGGCCATGTGAGTGTGTACATTAACAGACAGAATATGGCTTTTGATCTTTAAGAGCAATTAATATAAAATATGGAATTACACTACTGTGTAACAGGATACTTTTTACTACTTTGTTAAAAGTACTCCCCAAACTCAAATACAAAACAACATAGCTTTCCAGGCCATGGTCTTATAATGGCATACCTTCACCAATTCTTATCACCTTCTGACGCTGTTTGTAAATGTGTTTGGCTGTTACGCTTTGAACTTCAGTAAAACATTTGTACTTGATTAAAATACAAGACCAAGCACCTTCCTGTCCTCACGTCTGTCCATGCTCGGGAATGGCATTATGATTGGAAGAGACAGGAGAAATAACTGTCATGACTACCTACAGGGAATCCCCCAAGATCATTTCTTTCCTGCTGTCACATAAGACATGGTCGTGGTGGCTAAGCCCTCCTTCCATAAGCATGCAAGCACAGAGCATTTCAGCACGTGCTTACAGATATGAGCCTGTAGGCTGCCAATTACATCTCCTAGCTAATATCTGAAGGACTGTGATGGATTAAAAACCTCTGCTGGCATAGACCTTGCAGGGGCATGCAAGACTGACAGCTTGAGGGTGGCTCCCCAGGGTCTACACCTTGAAACTGCTGCAGTCGCACCTACCTGTGAGTGGGTGGTAGCAAAACGCAATGAACCTCAACTGGAGGCGTCTTTGCTTTCATTTTACCTACCTGAAATTCTCAGTGTGTTGGACTGACAGATGTATTCGCCACGAAATCTGAAGCAGCTTCTGCCTGGAAAGGTTCCCATAAATATTGCCCCAGAAAACAAGTCCAGCAGTGAGCAAGAGGCATCTCTGCCTGTGAAGGGCTCTCAGTGAGAACAGCAAAGTCTTCTCAAAAGATTTCTTCATCGTTGAAATGGCACAACGTAGCTCTTGCAGCAAAGGAAGCTAATGTAAGGTCTTTTCAGGTCTCCTCTTTATTAAGCTGTTGAATTGCAAAAAAAAGTGAGCTAAACTGTAGGAGTCACTTTGTCAAGGTAACAGTCTTGGGGGAAAAGAAGGATTGTTGTATCATCTCAGAAAAGAATCTACATGTTTCCATTTGAAATGAGCTGTGGTCTTGTTCCCCACTCTGTGCGTTATACAAGAGGCCTTTCTCCTGAAAGGTTTCTGTAAGTCTCCCCAGCCATAAGACTCTTTTTGTTCCTGCTTTCATACTTGAGCATCTAAATCTTTTTGGCTGAAATATTCAGTATATATTCACTTTCAGGCAGAAACTGAATCTAGAAAATTTCAATCTGATGCTCTAGGTGAGATTTTAGGAAGTTGTGAACAACAGCAGGGAGGGTAATTACAGAAACACGCATTCAGCTCTAGCCATAAATGGCACTTGCATAGTAGCAATAATAAATATGTATCTTTTAGAGTATTTCTATATTTCTGAATCTCTAGGTCCAATAGACTGAATACTTTTTGCTATTAAGCCTCAAAGATCACAGCTGAAGTCATAATATTCTATGAAAAGCCATCTAGCTCACCGAGTTTTGATTGCTTGTAGTTTATTTAGTTGATTGTATCAGATGCTATTTATTCCATCCAGATCCACATGTATAAAAAATTTAATATTATTTTTGATGGAACGAATTTGCTGAGCAAAACCACTTTTTTGTCCCTTTCCCCATCCCTTCAAACAAGACTGCCTGTAAAATTTGGCTGAAATAATTAACGCTGCAGAGAGCATTTTAAACAAAAAAAACCCGAAAAACAACAACCCCCCCCCAAAATACCAACAAAAACAAACACCAAAACAAGACACAAAAAAACCCTATAAAACTCAAAACTCTGTTTTTTCATGCCCAGTTAGACTATTAGAAAATAGTTATTTTGTGGTAAATTGCTACAAAGGTAGAAGTGAGCAACGGAATACTATTGCTGATAGAAAAGTATTGACATAGCTGGAGACCATGTACTACCTAACACCCATCCTCTGTCCTCTTTGTAGTGGAAAGATATGCCTGCAGCGCTTTGGAGAGGTGAGCAGCCGAAAGTAAAAGACTCTCTATGTAATGCTGTATTACAATGAACCTTTTCAGAGTGTAATACAGTAAAATTCCTGTTATCTGAATTCCATATTCTTCAATTACCATAACTTGTGATTCAGATAAATGGGAATCACCAAGGTATAAACTTGCAGAGTTTATTAACTTGCTGGATATTAATCTCTTCCTAGTATTATTTATATAATCTGCAGCATGATCTGGCACCTAAACAGAGCAGGTTTAGTTTATTTTACCAATTCAGTGCAAAATACCTCTTGCACCAAAAAAATGCATTCGTGTTAGACCTCAGGGTACAAATCTTTATTTACGTTAACTGGACTTCATATATTCAAGGTTGGAAGTATATCCTAACAGATTCATCAGAAAGAAGAATAGTCAGTACAGATGAAAAATTAGAAATTATTATCTGTATTGCAGCACATGTAGAGATAGGATGTGGAGATAGGATCTACCTTCATCCTTTTCCAGTTCCAGGAAGATTCTAGATAGCATTTTGGATTGGTTCTTTCTTCTATTTATATTAACAGAATGGAGTAGAGAAAGTCTTGGGGCAACTGAACCCCTTTGGTAAATTGACTAAAGTAGATGCAGATAGATGATTTGTGAATTTTGTTCCTGGCATTACAAGCAAGGGAGGATGCTTAAGGTAGCTTTTCTGAACATCAAAGGTGCAGATAAAGTTTATTGTTCTGTGGGATACCTTAGTTGGATGTAGAGCTGCTCCTTAAAGATTAGGCCAGCATAATTAAACATGGGTGTACATGAAACAAATATATGGCTTTCTGCCTGCCTTTATGCTTAGCATTCAGTTAGTACTGAATGGTTGTTTCATTTTTGGCTTTAGCTTGTTCGTACAGCTAAAGTTTACCTAAGCTTATTTTTTCCGAAGAAAAATGTGTACACTGGAGTCCAGAATGACCTGCCCTCTTTTTGGTGCTGTGTTACCTCCTTGCTGACTAGCAGGGATGGGAAGGGCCATAGATATTGTCCCCCTGTAGAATGAGTGAATCGAGTATGTTTGGTTTTGAGGTGGGAAAACGAGTGTCACCCAACCCTGGTTTTCATTTTGATGCTCAAAGATGACATATCAGCTGGATGCCAGGGAGGAATATCCACTGGGGGGGAAGAAACCAGCTCTGCACTCCTCCGTGATTGGGACTGACTGTGTTGTTGCTGGGTGGAACAGCATAATGCTGTTGCTGCTCCTGCTCCAGCACAGTGATGTTTCTGTTCCAGATTGTGCTGACTCACATTCAAGAAAACATGATACACAGACACAATGCACTGTAACTCTTTTCCTTTTCCCCAGTAACCTCGGTAAGTGCTTGGTTTCTTTTTCCTGTCTATGGCTAGCGTGGTGCTAATATAGCTTTACTGTCAGAATTAATAGGAGGGGAAAAGGCAACCTTGTAAACAAACTGGTAGCAGACAGATTAATCTTGGAGAGGGTATTTAAATGCAACCTGCTGTTTGTGGTACATCCACCTCCCTTTAAAGCTGATCGATCCTGATAACTCGCCTGTCTCTACAAACTACACTTGTTCGAGCTGTGTTCTTAAATGGGAGAAGTGCTTACAATACCCATTTACAACTGTATTCTGTTTAATTAGTCAGCACAGCCAGTGCTGCAGGGATAGATTGCTTGCCTTTAAAGATTTGAGAATGTTAATAGTACAGTATATCATTTTAATTATTATTGGATTAATGTTGTGTCTCGAAGAACATCTAATGCAAATCACAAGAAATGGCCTGAAGTGACCCAAGGGTTGTGCTTTATTAGAAAAGTAATAGGTCCATTGCTTAAATATGAGAGGTTCTTTCTTCAAATGTCACTCTGCACTGGGCTTCTCTGTGTGTGTGTGTATGTGAAAATGAAATCCTCTTGCCTCCACTTTGTCCACAGAAACTTTCTGTAGCTCATGCAATAAATGGCTGAGACAGTAGGTGTGCTACCAAGAGATGAAGACAAAATCCAAAATAACAGTGATGACGAAGACCCGTTTCTGAAATGTGATGATGTAGCGGCATCCCCTGGTTGCTCTGCCAGCCCTTCATTAGCCAGCCTTAATGAAGACAAGGGAAGCTCAGCAGTGCCAGAAAGACTGTCTGTCCTCTCCAGCAAGGCCATGGCCCAGGCAAAAGCCCTGACTGGCCCAGAGATGGTTAGTGGTGACCAGGCACAGGAGACAGCCTCTGGGTTGGCTGAGCATCATCCGACGGCTGTAAATCCATCATTAGGTGGCTCATCCTACCCTGCAACGGTTGGTAACCTGCAGCCTGTGGGCATTGCCTCCCCGTGCTCTGAGAGTCCCTACTGTGATGGCAACTCAAGTTCGAAGGTGTTGCTGGTCCCGTGGGTGCCCGATGTGGTTGGCGAGCCCCTGCAGGCTGTCGCTGCCCCCCCTGGGAGTGACCCCGGGGGCCGTGATATGCCGCAGGTGGGGAGTGGCATGAAGAGGGATGCAGCCCCTTGTAGCCTGGACCAGGCAATTTGGATGAAGACTGCGAAAGTAGCAGAGAGCTTAGAAAGTAAGAAAAAGGAGGAAAAGGAGAAGTACCGGCTCCAGCTAGCTATGTACCGACGGCTTCTGCTGCTGCGTTCAATCAGGAGCTTGCACAAGCAGCTGGAGCAGCAGCAGGCCAGATTGCAGGAATGCTACGGCACGGTAATAAATACCAAGAAAGAAGTGTTGAAACACATTTGCTCAACCTCGCCCTCACCTTCGCCGTAATCGTGTTGCTGCATGCAGAAATGAGCTTTGTAATGCCACCGGAGCCGTCAGTAAGCTTGCATGCTATAGGGGTGGTGTCCTCATACCCAGGAGTACGTGCCCACGTGCGCTGGGAGCAGAGAGGGAACAGCAGCGGCAGCAGAACAAGAAGAAAAGGGAAGGGAAAGTGTTGGCCCCTGAATTTACTCGGAGGAAACCAGAGCAAGACTGTACCTGTGTGAGAAGCTGACTCCTGAAGTGCACTCGAAGCCTCAAGCTGAAATAGAATTTTTGGCATATTGCTTCGTAGAAAGAAAAAAACCCCACAAACTGGAAACCTATTCTGGCACCTGACCTATAAATGTGGTCAGATGCAACTGCTGCTGCCTGCTGAATATGTGATATGGCATATCTCCCCTCTACTTGCAGCGCTAGCAAAACTTGAGCAGAATTAGGGTTCGTTTGTTGGCAAGAATATCAGAATCTAGAAAGCCAGGATATTTAAAACATGTAAGCTCAGGCTTGATTATATCTACCTAGCTGCCCGTTTTGCACAAAACTGCTAAGGCCATTGCACATTTGTGACCTCTAGCCTCATATAAAATTTATTTAGATTGACCAGAAATTATTGTGAGAAGGTAGGACAGTCAAACACATGCACAGGGGTCAGTACTACTGCCTAAGCCTCATTTCCTTGGAAAGCAAGCTAAAAACAAAGGCCTTGTAATCTGGCGTTGCATTGGAAACCCAGACTGGCAGTGCCAGGGGAATGTTCAAGGTCTGCACAATTATTAATCTGCTGCTAACTCCCAGTGGCACTAGTGTCTGCAAATCAAGCATATTTTGTGCCTTACTGCTGTCATTTAATGGAAGTTGGTGACAATTAGCACTTTTTATCCAGGTGTATTAGACACGTGGAAAAGCCTAGAGCACTGTTTCTCCAATTGCAAGGTTAGGATGCCTGTAGGGAATTTGATGACAGTATGCAACAAACACGCAGGGAGAATGAAAGCAAAAAGATGCAACTTTTTTGTATGCGTTTAAAAGGCAACGTGAGTCCCTATTATTGAACAGCAAATTGAATAGTTGAATGTGCTGGTTTAGGATCTAAAGCAAAAAATGATTCAAAAAGAAAAGATACTGAAAAGCTTCCTGTTCTAGGATTTAAAGTGATATGGAAAAAATCTCATTTTCTTCAGATACTTCTTTCTGATCATGCCACCCTTCCTTTTCCCCTGTTGTTTTTTTGTTATAAAAGTTTAGGCAGATGAGCATTCAGCCAGATTTTTGGTGTGTTTTTTTCTGCATAAAGAGGTGAGTGTCTTATTAGAAGTCATATCTTTCTGAGAATTATGTGCTATATATAGGCAATCTTTTATGCTTAGCTTTTTTGTGTGTGTATAGAGAGAGGGTGCATGTGTGTGTTTGTGTATGCACGCACACACACCTCCCTGTATACAAGAGGTTATGAAAAGCTTGTACTTCTTTTTCTGTAGCGGAAGCAGGAATAATCTCTCAAAATAATCTCTGCTGTCTACAAGGCGTTTGGTTGATTAGATTCACATGCACACATCTGTGAGCAAGGTATTGAAGTAATTCAACAATTGAAGTGCAGCACAACATTGTCATTATTCCGTCTTTGTATTTCTGTGCACCCAAAATTATGGAAGCCCCCTGGGTATGCACAACCTTAGATAGGTTCATTCATCTCCTTGGGCCCTGGTGTAGCCTCTGAAGCAGCACGAGCCTGTAACTTTGAATGCAGAATTACCATAGAAACATCCTTGGCATCAAGGAGATATTTGAAGAAGCACCCTCTACTGCCTCATTTGGGGGATTCAGGTTGCCAGGGGCTTTCAGGGGGCTGGAGAAGAGAGCTGGGGATCGCGTGTGACTGGAAGACATTACTCCTGAGCTCTCATCCCACCCAGCTCTCTGCTCAGCCTTGGGAACGCTGTTCTCTGTCAGCACTGCAGGTTTCTCAAAGAGCACTTAAATACTAAACTCACCTCAAAGATAACCTGCTCTGCCTTAATATGCCTTCCAAGGAGGAATGTTAAGCATGGCCAATAGGGCCATGCAAGGATTTGGGTTTTTTTCTTTTTTTTTTTTATACTTCATGAACTAGAAAAGTCTTTTTGTCATTGGTTAAGAGAGTCAGTGTTTTGTTAAACTAAGCACAAGGAAACTGCTATTATGTTGTATCTCTTGGGCAAAGAACTGGTGAAGAAGGGACACATCTCTCAAAAATATTACTGAAATTTTAAATCAAATGTCAAATTGTTCCCGATAGGAAGACAACCAAAATATATACTTTTGTTAATTTTGGCCAATATGTTTTTTTTTGTTTGTTTGAAAAAGAATTATCTTATAAATTAGATTCAGCTTTACTAATACTACCATGTCATTGAAATAAAATATATTGTAAGACTAAGTAGCAATTTTGCCTCAGTAGCTGCTGAAGCAGAGTGTTGTCCTGCATTTGTTGCAAGAAGTGGAATGCCCCCAATTACTGCATAGGGCTACCTATGGTGTCATACTTGTATTTAAGGGTGACTAGAAAATCAGTAAAAAATATCTCTCACACAATACGCAGTGCTGCAATAGTTGAGTTGTCAACCTGTCCAATTCTAAGTGCTTTGTGGCAGAACTGTGACAATCTTTGTTTTGTATAACACCTCTCATAAGATTTCTTGATCCTAATTGGATCAGTAGATGCTTCTGCACTATGAATATTAAATACCAAAAGATTTGTGCATGGGCAATGCTGTCTGATAGCTGGCAAGAAAATGAAGCCAAGACTTGTCCTGTGTGCACACTCTTTCCATGTAGCACTTTTATGGATACAGAAATAAATGTTAACTGAGGAAATAACATTGGTCTTTGCAACAATTTGCTGTTTAGCTGGTGGTTCTAGTGTGGCTGCTAATAACTGGAGTTGGGCAAACCAATTAAAAGTTACATGATTTTAAAAATGAGTTTATTTTACAAACTTGGAAAATGTGGCTTAACAGCTGTGTTTTTTTCCTTGTATGTTTTAGCAGTGGAAGGCCAGTGGGAAAGTGTCAGAATCTCATTGGTAACCCATGGAGTGTTTTTAGGCATACCAGACAGAGCAACAGTCTCAGGTATATTATATGTATGTCCTCTCAAATTATTCAGTCTCCTTATGTGTTTAAGAGATTTGGTAGTTTGGATGAGGTTCAACTAAATTTCTTAAAATCTGTATTTTTATCTGAAGTTAAACTGCATGGGTTTAGTGTTAGCAAGAGGTACAAGCCTGAATTACTGAATTTTCGTATATCTACCTAAGTACTCATAGGTCTTTGGTAATGATTACAAAATAGAGAGTTTTGGTCAGGTCTTTCTTCCCATTATCTTAGTGCCTGCCAGAGCCTGTCCAGCTAACTATCTGCAGGAGAAATCTTCTCTTCAACCCGACAGCTTATGTTACCTACTTTTACAGCAAAGGTTGAAGTTAAATGATGCTGCCTGAGCCTTATGGTTCTGCTGCTCACCTAATTGCCTAGCCAGCCTGAAATGGCAGAAAATAATCTTACATTTACCACGGAAGAGTGGGATGTTTAAAAGGTGGCAGTTCCCTTGGAGTCATTGCACTAAAAAAGGTATAGCTTGTACCTACCTAAAATCAGAATGGAGTTATAAACAATTAAGTGACAAAATGCATTACTGAGATGTTCTTTAATGCAAGGGCTTTTCTTCTGCATCTCCAGCATTTCAGTTAGCTAAACTGCTTTCCTGGAGACTGGTCAGAGCTGTGTTTTTGCCATTTCTGTTATTGATGGCTATGAGTCAGCCTTGGTAAACAGCCCAGCTTAACATGTTCACTTGTTACCTCTTGTGATGGAGCCACATGTTATGCAGGGGATTCATTCACTTCCTTCTTCCTGAGATTTTCTAGCATGTCTGTCACCTTCCTTAATTAGGACAGCGATGATTTTACCAATTTATAGTAAATTTATGATATTGTGGTAAACTTGTGAGCCGTGCACTAAATGTGGATGATCCTACAGTTTTCTCAGAGCTATGAAAATTATGGACTCTGGGCATGACATAAGCATACCAAAGATAGATTTAAAGATGAGTTTGTTTAGATCTCCCCTGGCTCATGAGTAGACTTAAAGAAACTCTTTAGAGTTCTTGTTACAGTTTATTTCTATAAATATTATGACTCCGGAATGGAACTACAAAGACAGGTGTTTCAGGGTTTGATTTCTAATGCAGTGTGGGGAATGGCACACTGGACAGCTTTTTTTCTTGGTTAAAGATTACCTTTTTCTCATACCTGAAACAAATATTTTGGATCGTTGGGCTACATACATGCTAAGGAGTGTTTGTGTAACTGTGGTACATGGGAGTCGATACCCATCTCTGAAGCTGAGTGACAGTAGTTGTTGTTGCCAAAATTCGCACATATCACTTACTCCCCTAGATATGTCTTTTACCTAAACTGAAACATGTTGAAGTCAAATGTCCTGCTGACTTATGATGACATTTGAATCCAGACCAGAACTTTGAGGTGGTATGACTTCTCAAGTCTGATGCATTTCTATCTCCCTGTGTCTTCAAACAATTACAAACATCTTGGATGGTACTGATCTTCGTCTTTCTGGCAAAATGTGTGGAAGATTTGGGAGAAGAGGAAAAAAGACTTCCTATCAGTCTATTGAAGTGCTATTGAAGAAAGGGGAAGGTAGATATTTGTTTTTAATGAAAATTGTAGTAAGGAAGATGGCCCTGCAAAAACACTTCTGGAGGTTTTACTTAAACATCTGGAAAATAACAAAAGTTCCTACAGAAATAAAACTACAGCTGCAAACAAGTTTCCTTAATTGTATTGATCATCTTCTCACACAATTTTATCCAAGTCTCCAAAGCAAACAAAAAAGTTGCCTCCATCTCTGACAAATCAAGTCTCAAAGTCCACAGCCTGGAGTGACTTCTGTGTGCATGAGAGGCAAGGAATTCTTGAGAATCTCAATAAAAGTTACATTTTCCCTTTGATGAGTGGGGGTTGGAGAGGAAAGGGAATGTGTGACCATTCATCACAGCTCCAGGC